AAGATAAGAATCATGTGATTATCTCAATAGATGCTGAAAAAGTATTTGCTAAAATTCAGCATCTCTTCATGTTCAAAACACTAGAAAAACTGGGAATAATAGGATCATACCTCAACACTGTAAAAGCTATGCTAAGCCCAAGGCCAACATCATTCTAAATGGAGAAAAATTGGAAGCATTCCCTCTAAACAGGAACAAGACAGGAATGCCCTCTTTCACCACTTCTATTCAACATGTAGTCCTTGAAATTATAGCCAGAGCAATGAGACAGGCAAAGGAAATTAAAAGGATATACATAGGAAAAGAAGAACTGAAAATTATCACTATTTACTGAGGACACGATTCTATATTTTGAAGATGAAAAAAATAACTCCACCAGAAAACTACTAGAACTGATCAGCAAAGTAGCAACAAGTGATGATCCACTGAAAGAGAAACTAGGAAAACTACACCATTCAAAATAGCCTCAAAAAATATAAAATACTTGGGAATCAATTTAACAAAAGAGGTGAAAGACCTCTACAATGAAAACTAAGGAACACAAAAGAAGGAAATTGAAAAAGACCTTAGAATATGGAAAGATCTCTTATGCTCTTAGATAGGCAAAATGGCCACACTACCATAAAGGTTCCACAATTCCTACTAAAATCCCAATGTTATTCTTCATAGAACTTGAAAAAGAAATCACGAAATTCATTTGCTAGGGGAAAAAATAATAGACCCAGAATCGCTATAGCAATCCTTAGCAAGAAAAGTGAAGCAGGAGACATCACAAATACCAGACCTTAAGCTATAGTATAGAGCAATAGTAGCAAATACACCATGGTATTGGCACCAACATGGACATGTAGACCAATGGTACAGAATAGAGACACAAAAACCAACCCACATAAATACAGTTATCTCATTAGACAAAGGCAACAAAAACATATATAGCCTCTTCATCAAACAGTGCTGGGAAAACTGGAAATCCATATGTAGAAAGATAAAATTAAACCTCTATCTCTCACCACGCACAAAACTCAACTCAAAGTGGATCAAGGACCTAGAATTAGACCAGAGACCCTACACCTAATATAAGAAAAACTAGACCCAAATCTTCATCATGTTGGATTAGGACCCAACTTCCTTAACAAGAGTCCTAAAGCACAAGAAATAAAAGCAAGAATCAGTAAATGGGATGGATTCAAACTAAAATGCTTTTTCTCGGGAAAAGAGATCATCATTGAGGTGAAGAGAGAGCCTACAGTTTGGGAGCGTAGTTTTACCACACATATGTCAAATAGAGTACTACTCTCCAGTATATTTAAAGAACTCAAAAAAATTAAAATAAAAAAAACAAACAATAAATGGGCTAAAAAACTGAACAGACACTTCTCAAAAGATATACATGCAATCAATAAATATATGAAAACGTGTTCAACATCTTTAGTAGTTAGAGAAATTTAAATCAAAACTACTCTAAAATTTCATCTCACCCAGTCAGAATGGAAGTTATCAAGAATAGAAGCAATAATAAATGTTAGATAGGATGTGGGTAAAAAGGTTCACTCATACATAGCTGGTGAGACTGAAAATTGGTGCAACCACTTTGTAAAGCAGTATGGAGATTCCTCAGAAAACAGAATGAAACCACCATTTGACCCAGCTATCCCACTCTTCAGTCTGTACCCAAAGGACTTAAAATCAGCATACTATAGTGACATAGCCACACCAAAGTTTTTAGCAGCTGAATTCACAATAGTTAAACTGTGGAACCAACCTAGATGCCCATCAATAAAAGAATGGATAAAGAAACTATGATATATATACACAAAGGAATATTACACAGCATTAAAATAATACAATTATGGCATTTGCAGTTAAATGGATGAAGCTGGAGAATATTATGCTAAGTGAAGTAAGCCAATCCAAAAAAACTAAAAGCCAAGTGTTTTCTCTGAATAATGGTTGCTGATCTATGATAGAGGAGGGGCCATAGAAAGAATGAGAGAACTTTAGATTGGGCAAAGGAGACAGTGGGAAGGGATTATGAGGATAGGAAAGATGGTGGAATGAAATGGGACATCATTACCCCACTACACCATGTACAACCAGAGAATTGAAATGTTGCACTCCGTTTTTGTACAGTAAATTAAAATGCATTCTGCTATCTAAATGCATTCTACTGTCTACTTGTACAACTAAGTAGAACAAATTAAAAATTTTAAAAAGCCTCCAGAATTTTAATACAGCTCTGGCTGAGCCTGAAGTACCTTCTTAACTTGCTTCACTGGTCCTGGTCCTGATGGATTTCCAGGTCAGCACTAGACATATTTTCCAGCCTCATACCCTATGCCAATCCCTTAGTGGCTGCAGAGGCTCAGGCCAACCTTGGAACTTGCCCGGCTTATCTAGGGAAATTGATTAAGACACACCTCCCAGAAAAAAAAAAAGGGTGAGACATTGACAGTCAGGGAAACAGCTCCTCTAAACCTAGAGGGAGGAAAGAGGGAAGACTTGATTTGGTGCTCAGATTTCTGAACAAGAGCTTTCAATTCTATCCCACTGAAAACTGGCCCTCTGACATTGGAATAGATGTCTCTTGCCAAGGAGGTGAGTAAAGGAACAAAAGAATGGAGGAGGTCTGCTTTGAGGGACATAGATGTTTTTTAACCAAGTCCTTAGGGAACCCATGTTCAAAAGAAAGCTCAAAGATTGCAATTTTGAACCAGTTCCCCTCCACTGAGTTTGTGTCCGTGGATCATTGCTTACTTTCTCAGGGCCACAGGATTCCAATCTATACATTACAAATTATGCCCACCTCACATTCCAAGGTTGTGGTGATGTGTGAGTTTGGATGGAAACATTTGTGGTATCGGGGCAGTGGGTAAGAGCTTGGCTCTGATGTCAGACAAACCTGGGAAGTAAGTCCTAAATCTGCCTCTTTTTGGCTAGATGCTCTTGGGCAAGTCATTGCCCCCTGTGAGCCTCAGTTGATCTCTCTGTGAAATGGGGACAAACTACCCAACTCATAAGCCTATTGTACACTCAAGGGTATGGTGCATACTATTCACTGGTAAATGGAAACTCTTATTCCTAAAATGAGGGCCCCCACCAATTCAGCATATAGAAAGCACCACAAATTTGCAACTGTGATTCCAGATCTGGAATTCAACAGATCTGTCCAAAGTAGCAAGGTTAGGCCCTTGCCCCTCCCAGACACCAAGCAGAGTGACAAGAGGTCTCTCTGAGCATGAGTAGCTCTCAGCCTATAGCCACACAGAAGGCTCATTCGAATCCTAAACCTTTCGCATCCCATGACAGAGGCCAAGAACTCTGGCCAATAGGGGCAATGCACAACCCATAGCCTGTCCTCTAAACCAAGCTGCACTGGCAAGGACCCGACTGAGACAACAGGACAAACTCATATAAGAAACTGAGTCCTAGAGAAGGGAAGAAACTAGGGTACAGTTCTGAGGAAGCTGGTAGAAAAGCTGGAAGAGATCCTGAACCAGAGCCCTCCCAGAAGCTTTGTTGACACTCTCCCATGTGCCATTTCTCTGCCATTCTCTGCCTTTCTCATTTGGACTAACCTGCAATTTCCTTACAAACACAGGCCTAATCAGAAAAAATCTGGGCCATTCTGAGGGATCCCAGATATCTTGCACATTTCCTTATTGGAAAACACTAGGATGTACAAACAGTCCTGGATCTGATTCATAACAAAAAAGGGAAAATCCACACATAGAGACACACACACAACCATGCTCCCTGCACAGAGGGCAGCAACAGATCCCAGTATCCAGGCTGCCCTAGAGGGCAGTCAGCCCCCGCACAGAAAGTGGCTCCCTCATTGTGCTCAGTGCTTCCACTACTTGCTTCAACCCCTAATGCACACATGCACACACACAAACACACCCATGCACACACAAGGAGCAGGTTGGCCCACAAGGTCTACAGCCATGTATAATCTTGGGCTGATAATTCATAAGATGCAAACATGGCAGTGTGGGCCAGGCTGAGTGATGGGGAGCTGACAAAGGAAGGGCTACTCACACTCACCACACAAACACACACACAATTATACCTTATCAATTCACACATAGTCATGCTTCATACAAATACTGACTCAAGAAACAGTTTACACAAACAGATACACATATACACAATACCTAGATATACACTAGACATCGCCAGACAAATGCATATATATTCTCACTCCACCCACATGTCCTCACACACAAAGCCATGTGTGTGCACCACATACTCACAATCCAGACATGAAAATGTTTTCCTTAGCTCCTACAACTATAAACACCTCCTACATCTACAGGTTCCTGTGTGGTAGTTGGTTATGATTCCAGAGGCCAGACTAAGCTCTGGACTGGCCTAAGGGAGAGTGAAAAAACAGGAGCAGCAGAAGCCTGTCATCCTCCTGTGTAGGGAAGCACAGATGAAGAGCCCCTCCCTGCAAAAAGAGCAGTCCACAGACTCTGACCCTGGATCCTCAGTGTAGGGGCCTCCTGGAGATGGCTCTAAGGACTGAGAATGTGGAGGTGCAGGACACAGTCTTTTATATTCCCAAACTGAAACTCTCTCCTTTTCTGAAGGCTGGGACAATTTTGGCAAATCCTTTAAACATCCTCCCCCAACAGGCCTGCTTGTCCCCAGGAGCTTGTCTCTCCTTTAAGATTCCCTCACTGAGACCCATACACCTGTTCCATCATAAAACGGGGTCCCACCCAGACACCTTAAGGCATGCCTCCCACCTGAATGATCCTCTCGCTGCATCTGACCCTACATAGATCATATATATCTGTAGGTGGTAGACACAATTCCTTTATTTAATTTTTATGTGTTACTGAGTATCGAAATCAGCACTGTGACACAACCCCAGCCCCCTGCACAGCTCTTAAAGATGCCAGAGGTATACCTTGCTTCTAGCCCCACCAACCCCAAACTCACAGGCCACACCTAAAGCCCTGCTGAGGTAGACACCCACAAAGGGTGATCCTGCTTCTAAGAGGCAGCTCCGTCACCAAGTGGCATCTCTAAAGAAACTTCAGTCTCCCACCCAAGGCACCTGCACACTTTCCGAGTAGGTCCCAGCACCTACCACCTTCTTCAAGATGTTCTCCAATTTCTGCTGGGTCTTTCTTCACCCCTGAGAGACAAAGCAAGAATGAGCGTGCGATCACGTGGTGGGAGCGGCAGAGGCTCAGGACGCAGCAGGTGGCTTTGGCTCCTGTGCTCTAAAGGCGCCTGCGGTAACAGTGGCGGCTCCTTCTTCCTGGAGGCGGCTTTGGCTCCAGTGGACCTTTGCTATGGTGGCGGCAACAGCGGCGGCACTGGCTCCTGGCTTGGCGGCGGCGGCGGCGGCGGCGGCGGCGGCGGCGGCGGCGGCGGCAGCAACAACAGCAACATCGTGGGTTGCAGCGTGGTGGCTCGACAAGGTGTTTGCTCCAGTAATTCCGGTGCTCTGGCAGAAGCGATGGCGGTGTCATTGGCTTCTTGCTCTGGTAGCAGCAGCGACATTGGCTCCAGCGTTTCGTGTGCTCTGTCAGCAGCCGCGACTTTGTGCTCTGGTGGCGAAGATGGCTCGGTGAGGCGGCGTCAACGGTTCCTATGCTCTGGCGGCTTAGCTCCCAACAGTTTCTGTGCTCTGGCGGCGTTGGCTCCGTGCTCTGGGGCTCTGGAGGCGGCGTCGGTTCCTGAGCTCCCGAAGAGGCGTTGGCTCCAACGGTTCCTGTGCTGCAGCGGCGGCTGGGGCGGCGACGGCGGCCTTAGCCCCAACGTTCCTTTGCTCTAGCGGCAGCTGCAGGAGTGCCGTTGGCTCTGTGCTCTGGTGGCAGCTATGGCGGCAACCGTAAGGGCCTTAGCTCCAATGTTCCTGTGCTCTGGAGGCAGCGACTGTGGCTTCCTGCCTGCCCTGGTGGCATTTGCTCCCTGCTGTGGCGGCTTGGTGGCGGGGGCTCCCTGAGTGGCGGAGCTGGCAGTGGGACTCCGCAAGGCGGCAGGATTCCCTGCTGTGGCCGCGGTGGAGGCAACCTTGGCAGCAGCTACCACAACTACTACTGTGATCAAGACACAGTTACAACAGCAGCTGTGCTAATGGTGGCAGGGAAATGGACACTTGCTGTTGGTTAGCTCAAGTGCCCCGCCCTGAAGTTCGGTTTGCCCTCTGGGGGCGTGGCTGCAGAGACAGTTCATAAATTTGGACCAATAATGTTGCTACTATTTGCAAACCCTTATTAGCATAAAGGAGAATAGATAGCATTGACACAAGAGATATGTACACGCTAGCTGCGCACACTCAAGCACCAAGCCTCTGTGCAGTGTTCAGAGATAGATTTTGGCGTTTCGATTTAGCATACTCAGCACCCTGAACCCTGCAAAACAAAATTGGTGGTGAGCTTCTGTGGTCTGCTTGAATACCTGTGAGTAGAGCCTGCTACACCCAAGGCACCTGCACCCTTGGCTGCACAGGCCTGTCACTAGGAATTCACCCACCAGTACAAGCAGGAAACTCTACTTATACTACAGGGACCTTTTAGCAAGATGTACTTATTTATATATATCAATACAAATGGGATTTTATTTTTTCATATAATTTCACACATTATTTATAAGAAAATGATTTAAAAATTAGACACAGGCAATACATGGTGGCAAATACCTGTAATCCCGGTTATTGGGAGGCTGAGCAAGGAGGATTGCCAGTTCAAAGTTACCTTGTCATTTTAAATGACTAATAGATAAATTCCTACTTCCAGGAATTTATCTGTTTTACATAAATTGTCAAATTTGGGGATCAAGAGTTGTCTAGTATTATATCATTTTCATATTAATATCTGTGGGGTCACTTAAGGTGCCTCTTCTTTTATTCCAGATATTGACAAATATTGTCCCCTACCTTTCAATCAGTATAGTTAGAAATTTATCAATTATGAGGGTTGTTTTACTATCCAGATTTACATTGAATTTTCTTTATTTATCTTCTTTTGTCTGTTTTACTGATTTGAGCTTCATATTTGTAATATTTTGCCACATTTTTTTCAATGTGAATGCTCAGGTTAATTATTTTAAAACTATTTTCATTCTAATAGAAACATTAGTGCTACACATATTTCTCTCAACACTATATAAAAGCACTCCATAGATTTTTACCTATATCTTCAACCTATTTGTACCTTGGATTCATGGATTATTTATAGTTATGCTCTTTTATTGCCAAATTGTAGGGATTTTATGCATTAACTGTCTCTCTTTCTCCTGTGTGTACCTGTGTGTTGCCCACAAATAGACCCAGTGCCTCAAGTAGGCAATATGAGTGCTGTACCACTGACCTATTACCCCAGCTCCCTTATTATTGAACAATACTTTGTATGATATCCAGAATGACACATTTTGAGGTTGTTTTACCTGTGGTCTAGATTTTTGAATATTCTGTGTGCATTTGAGAAGTGCCCTTTCTTCTGTTGGTGGGATTTTTTTTTTCTGTAAATAGCTGATGGTTTTGTAAAGGTCATTTTCTTCTATGAATTTGCTGAATTTCTGTGTAATTTTTCTATGGGTTGTTGAACAAGTGCTGTTGAAATCGTCATCTTTGTCATTGAATTTAAATAGTTTGCTTATAGGTCTATTAATTATGCTTAAATATTTAAAACTTTTGGGGAGAACATGCAAATTTAGGATTGTTAAGACTTATGGAATCATTCTGTTCATCAGGTAACATGCCTTCTATCTCACATAGTAGTTTTTTTCCTGAGGCTTATTTCACATTACCAGACATATTTTAGCCTTCTTTTGGTTAGTGATTTCATAATACAGATTTTCTTCCCATTGCTCAAAAGATAATAAATGATTTTAACTAAATGCCTACCAATATAGAAATATCCTTATTGTAGTAAATTTTTATTTTATCATACAGTATCATGGAAAACATTTTATAGCTTTTTAATTTTGAATTCTGTGAATAAAGTATTAATATTACTTTCTGACCATGCTTATTAATAGTGTGAATTGTCTGTACTATTAAAACAATTCAAATTTTATGGTAGTAAAATTTGCACTGATGATGACCAGTCATATTGACACTAAATTTGCCTTTCTATATTTTGTAAATGTTTGACATAAACTGAAGCAAATGTGTCCAGAATGAAGAAGTTTTTTTAAAATTGAGTGTGAAAATAAAAATTTGATTTTTACTCTTGTCTGTTGAAGCTAACATTCTGCTATTTAAGTTGAAAACAGTAGTAAAAAGATTATGCAGGATATTGGAATAGGAACATAAAATAAATGAAAGACAAAATGTAAAAGTGAAGTATCTCACCAGTGGAGTGGAATTTTGTCTGTCTTTTCAATTTTTCTCTAAATCTTTAAAGATTCACCCTAAAAGTCAGTCTCTCTCTGTCTCTCTCTCTCTCTCTCTCTCTCTCTCTCCTCTGTGTGTGTGTGTGTGTGTGTGTAAACATACACATAAACGTACACATATATTCTTTCAAGAGAAAGGGTTCTAGAACATACTTTATGAACAATCCAGAGAAAAGTTTCAACTGAGGAAAAAAGAAACTTTAAAAGCAGTAAAATGTGAAAACTTTATTTTTGAAGGTAGAAAACTAGCAAAATCTCTTTAAGAAAATAAAATACCAGTGCCGAAGGGAGGTTTGGAGGGTGAGTCTTCTATGGATTCGCTTTTCACTTAGGGACATATGTTGACTCGAGAGAGAGTTACTTAAAAACAGGATCTGCTTTACTTTTGACAGCTAAGATTTTAAAAAAAACTAAGTTGAGACCCAAGTAGCTATAAGCTAAAGAAAGTAGGAATTCAGAAATTGATAGGCCCTTAAAGAAGCCGTAATTCAGCTTATAATCATTACATCCTTTGAAATTGCAGTCTTAGTATTTTCAATTCCTGGAACTCTGAGTCACAAAAGCAGAATTAAGTATGCATCTGTTTTAAGGAAAATCATATGAACGAGTTGGGTGTACAATGATTCCTATACTTAGCACTTGCAAGCTCCTGCATTCACATGTACACTCATACAGACATGCACACAAACAAAACACAGAATGAAGTCATGGAAGATATAAAACATGATTGTAAAACCAGTAGAAAAAGAAGCAAGACCACAGATATAGGGTTCTAAGACACAGGTTTATAATTTTGTTTATTTTATTTAAAAAGTAAGAAGTACATTTTGAGAATGACTGCAAGCATAAAATAATAAAATAGCCTAAGTTTAAATGCTGTGTGTAGCCAAAAGGCAATTAAAATGTATTTTTTTTTATCTCAGAGGTAAGGTTTATCTTAAATTTAAATACACTGAAGCATGAATTAATGTACATGGGCTGAGGAATAAGGTTGAAAGTTGGAGGAGACAGAAATAAACAAAGAAGTACATATTTAACTGTGGTACTATACCAAGTTAGCAAAGAAAAAAAATAGACATTAAAAATTGCATGTTAGGACTAGGGTAGTGGCTCAGTGATAGATTGATCACCTATCACATGCGAGGCTCTGAGTTCTCTCTTCAGCACCACATAAAAAAAAATAAAATGAAATAAAGGTACTGTCCAACTACAACTAAAAAATATTTTAAAAAATTGCACGTTAATGTATGGATAAATGAATGAAGTACAAAATATATACAGTGAATTATCATTCATCATGTATTTGTTTAACATTTATTTTTCTCTATTTGGTAAGTAATACCATCATTTATGATGCTATTCTTTTGTCACATTTTTTTTTAATTAGTGCTTGGAATGTAGCTCCGTGGAGGGGTGCCCACTTAACATGTAAAAATAAGGGGAAGAAACTTATAGTTTAAAACAAAATAAAATCAAAAACTAGTAATGTGATTATGGGCAATACAGAAATATCAATGAAGGTCTGCAATAGATTTATAAAGTCTCTGCCTTACATTTGGCATATGAACCATATATCCAGTCATAATACTCTTTATATGTTCTCATTTTATGCCAGTACTTTGACTTTTATAAGCACATATATGGAGCCTAAAGAGAAGGCATTGACCACTCCATTCATTAGATATAAGAAATATCAGTAAGAGAGTACCTCAATATTATCCTTGAGAGTTTTTTTAACTAAATCATTATTATTTAAATGAAATCAATGAAAACAATTATGACTTTGTTATAGAAATTTTTATTTGCCCCATAAAGAAAACCTCCAATAATTGACATTATTTAAAACTGAAAGTCTGGGCTGGGGTTGTAGCTCAGTGGTAGAGTGCTCACCTCGCATATGGAAGGCACTGCGTTCTATCCTCAGCACCACATACAAATAAAAATAATGGCATTATGTTCATGTACAACTAACAAAATATTTTTAAAAAACTGAATGTCTTTTGTGAAATTTATGAATGATGGTTTAATCTAGAATTCATCTCCTAATGAAACATTTCATTTTTCCCCAACTTCGGGATCAATATTTTAAAATATTTTTTTTTTAGTTGTAGATGGACACAATATCTTTATTTATTTTTATATGGTGCTGAGGATCAAACCCAGTGCCTCACACGTGAGAGGCAGGTACTCTACCACTGAGCTATAGCCCCAGTCCACCCCCATAGGATATTGTGTCACCTAAAATCAGTACTTAATGTGTGGCTAGCGCTGATGTCATCTTTCAGGAAAACTCCTACTGAATATTTCCTAACATTTTCCCTACTCCTCCTATGTCTTTTCCAGGCTATTTCATAAGGCAAACAACAACAACAAAATGCTCAGCATGTTTCCTGAAACTCCATTCTTCTCACAGAGAGAAAAGATACGTTGGACTGAACTTTTTTTTCCCTCCCTGCATACTCTTTTATGAGTTGAGTCTTCCTACCTGAAAATAAATCAGAGTGTATGAAATTAACTTGTGTTATTTAATTTCGTCTCCTTCAGGAAATGAAATGCGTTATCAAACCTGAAGCAAATTTATATTTTTCCTCTTATTTCCCTCCTATCTTTTAGGAAAACCTTCGTGCAATTCTATTTTGTATGGATGGGCATCACTGAATTTAATCTTTCTTTTAAGATTAGCATCAAACACTGCTTGAAAGTACTTGACTCGTTTTTATTTAGTAACATTTTCAATTAAGTATGATTTGTGGAAGACTCCATAAGTTCTAGACATTTACTGCTACTAATTTAGATACACTTAATTACATTCATATCTTCTAATTTTATTGCAATACCCTACAAAATATTTCAGTGTTTTAAAATTATTTTACCAGTGGAGAATCATTTCACCAAATGAAGAATTATAACTTCCACAAAGAATTGAGAAATGATATCATAGTACTAAAAGAAAGCATAGAAATCAGTGCAATTCCTATAAAATAAAAGATAAGGCTCAGAAATGAAATGAAATGATCAAAGAAATTTCAATAAGTATAATGGTTCTGCATAATCTTCTATGGATACAATATCCTGAATTGTGCTAATTTCTACCCCCATTGGGTTCTTTCTCTTACTATCCATATTTTCATTGTTTACTACCTCCATTCATCATTCCATCTAACATTGATGAGTACCTATTCTATATCACATACTGTTCTAGTTTTTGAGAATAACAAAAGTGGGGGAAAATTAAATTCTCTTTATCATCTGGGGTTTATATTCTCATAAGGAAGATGGGCCATAACAAAATGAATAAATTAATTGTGTAAAAGAGGCAAATGAACCAGAAAGCTAACAAAGCCCAATTTTCCAAAAAAATCTCCTAACAGCAATTTCTAAGATTATAATAAATTTTATTTAGTCATTATGTAGTAGAACATACCTACCTCTTCATCCTATTCCTCCTGTATAATTACAAATCTGTGTTCTTTGACCAACATCTAACTAATTCCCCTTCCTTGTCCATTCAATTTTTTTTAGATTTTACATGTAAATAAGATTGTGAATATTTGTCTTTCTGGGCAAGCTTTGCTTTACATTAGAAATGTCCTCCTGATCCATCCATGTTGTCACAAATAACAAGACTTCTGTAAAAAGGTAAGAAAAGTCAAGTAGAAATCCACTCTGTAAATGTCCCACATTTTTTACTCATTCTTCAATTGGTGGATACTTTGGTTTAATCCAAGTCTTGAGCATTTTGTATCACGCTACAATAAACTTGGAAATACACGTATCTCTTCAAAATACATGAACCATATACAGGTAGGTAGGTAGGTAGATTGCTTCATTCCATGGAGTATTGCTAAATCACATATGAGCATATGGCCTCTTTATTTTTAATTTACAAGAATTCTTCACAGTGTTTTTCATATGGCTGTATTTACATTCCTACCAATAGCATATAAGAGTTCACTGTTCTCCATTTCCTCTCTGAAAATTCTTATCTTTTATCTTTTATAACAGCCATTCTAATGGTGTGAAGAGATATCTTTCTTATAGTTTTAATTTTCATTATGTTTATGATTAGGGATATTGATTTGTGGAAAACGCCACAAGTTCTAGATATTTACTCTCTCCTGGCCTGTAAGGTCTCTGCTGAGATGTCTGTTGCCACTCTTACTGATACTCCCTTAGATGTTATTTGCTTCTTTTTCCTTCCTTTTAGAATCCACTGTTTGTGTTTTTCTTTTTATAGTTTTCTTATAATGTCTTGGTGTCTTATTTGAATTACATGTTATTGGCAACTTTTACCATCCTGTAGCTGGATATTTTATCCATATTTTGAAAATATTCTCTTATTATTTCTTTAAATAAGCATTCTGCCTTTTTTTCGATGCTGCTTCACAAACTCCTCTAATTTATTTATTTATTTATTTTTAAGGAGAATCAATCTTTTTTTTTTTTAATTTTTTATTGTTGGTTGTTCAAAACATTACAAATTTCTTGACATATCATATTCCACACTTTGATTCAAGTGGGTTATGAACTCCCACCTTCACCCCATACACAGATTGCAGAATCACATCAGTTACACATCCATTGATTTACATATTGCCATACTAGTGTCTGTTGTGCTCCGCTGCCTTTCCCATCCTCCACCCTCCCCCCTCCCCACCTCTCCCCTCCCCTCCCTAATTTAAATATTTATTTAATAATTTCCAATAGGTTTCATAAGCTTTCTTCTTTCCTATCCATCCCTGTTTCTTTATCTCTCTAATGTATTTTTAAATAACCTGTCTTTGAGTTCACAAATTCTTTTTCCTTTATCAATTCTCCTATTGATTTTTCTATTGTATTTTTAAAATTCCATTGTATTGTTCATCTCCAGGCTTCATTTCAGTTATTTTTTTTTGAACTCTGTTAAAATACTATTTTAGTCATTTATCATTTTCTTGATTTCATTGAATTGTTATTGTTTTCCGGTAATTTCTTGAAGTACACTGAATTTCTTTAAAATGATTGGCTTTAATTCTTTGTTAGGTTGCATATCTCGATTTCTTTTGAGTCACCCACTGTCAAGTTTTTGTGTTTTGAGTGGTATAGTGCTTCAATTTTTAATGTTTTTTATATTGTTAATATAATGTCTATATTTTTGAAGGAGAAGCTCATTTCAGAATTTACAGACTGATGTTGCCTGAAAATACCTATAAGCATGTGCATAGGTTCTGTCAGGCTGTGTGGTGTAGTGGGAGTTTGGGGAAGAGATTTTGTTGTTAGATTTCTTAAACAGGCTGCTTTGTTCATTTTTGTTATCAGATGGCAGGTTTTGAATGTAGGTCCATGGGTTGGACTTGTTGACTGTATCTCCATAGATGGGTCTGGAGCCTGGGTCCATGAGGATGGACTTGAAGTCTAAGTCTACAGAAGATGGTCTAGAATTTAAGTTTTCACTCTGAAGCCTGGATCCATAGAAATTGACTAATTCTGAGTTTGCCTAGAGCCTTATACTACTGGGATAAGACTTGTACCAGAATTATGTGTTCTAGGAGCCTCGGTCTGTATGGGTGTTTTTTTAGCCTCAGTCTATGTAGTTCAGCTTGACATTGAGAACTTTGGTGAGTCTATACCCTGGGTATACTGAAGCATAACTGGACCCAGGTGCCATGGCAACCATCCAGGTCACTGGGTCTATTGGTTTGATGTGATGCTGGATACACTTGGATCCTGTATCTAAAAAGACTAAGATGGACATAGGGTTAACAGGTGCTAATCTGAAAATCTAACAAAGTAAAAATAGTACTGATGAAAATTTTGACTGTGTGGGCAAATACAGTTTGGGGGAATAAGATGTTGCTTTTAGTTACTGAGTTTGCCTTGAATTCTGGAACAGTCAGAGCTTAAGACTATTGAATCTGTCCTGGCAGTGAGGATAATATAGAAGCTGGGATCACTGTCTGGCCTAAAGATTATCAGACTAGATATTAAGTCTGCTATGCAGGCCTGGAGACTGGTGGGAAATTGGGTCTAGAGGCTCAGTACAGTGTTTCAACCTGGGGCCATTGAGGCTTACCTCATCCGGGGTTATGCTGCTATATGTCTGGTTTAGGGTCCTGTGGAAAAGTCCAAGTAGTTCTTTCTCTCAAAACTGGGGTGACACAGGTAATATAAAAATATCCTTCACATACTGTGGGAATTGTCAACTCATTTTTTTCTTGTATCTGTACTATACTCAGATGGTATAATCTATTGCTTGTTTTCTTATCTCTTGTCATAGTAGTTATATATGGATAGTTATTTGAATTGTTTCTTCTAGGGAGTGAGCACTGGAATGAATCCTATTCCATCACCTTTCCGATTCCTTTCCCTAAAGACACTATTTTTAAAATATTGAAGAGTATCTTAAACCCTAATTTGAAATACTTTTTAATTGTATGGTTCCTTGAGTTTAGAAAATTTCAATAATTGAGAATAAGTATGCCACATAGATATTTAATATCAGTAACTAAAAAGTAAAAAAAAGATAAAAAAGGAGAATACCTTCAATTCACTTACAGTAATATACATGTATTTACTATGAATTTCTTTCATATAAAAAAGATTGTTTTACTATCAAAGTGTATTTTACATTGATACATACATAGATAGAACTGTTAAACATCTGTGTAGACACAGCTTATGTTATATATGTGTACAAGAATTAATCAGTGCTAGGCATTGTGGCACATGCCTATAATCCCAGCAACTTGGAAGGCTGAGGTAGGAGGAATGAAATTTGAAAGCTAGCCTCATAAACAGCAAGGTGCTAAGCAACTCGGTGAGATCTTCTCTAAATAAAATACAAAATGAGGCTGAAAGGACCCACCAGTCATTTCTCTAAGTGAACTAACCTCCACCTGGGGTAAATTTTGGATCATAGAAGTGCCACATAATCAGACCCTGTAATTAAGGTGAGTGGACATTCATTTTTTGAGGACAGGTGCATAGACCTGTGGACACAAGATTGCCCTTATATTCCCATCTAAATCTCTCATTGAGCAAAAATAAATTTGTCATCTGGGTGCAGTGGCACATACCTATGGAGCTGAGGAAGGAGGATCACGAATTCAAAGGTAGCCTCAGCAAAGTGATGCACTAAGCAACTCGGTGAGACCCCATCTCTAAATAAAATACAAAATAAGGCTGGAACTAGGGCTCAGTGGTCGAGTGTCCCTGACTTCAGTCCCCAGCACCCAATAAATAAATATAAATAACAATAAATAAATTTGCTTTGTGGGTTGGCATGGAGCTTACTGGAGAGCTGGTAATATCTGGGTGCTTGGGAAAAAGGGTAGACTCTCAAGTAGCAATGCCTGAACTTGACTGCAAGTTCAAAACATAACCACCAAACTCGGGTGCTTAATGACACCCTGGTGGACAGCTGTCCAGTGGCACCTTCATGGGCAGCTGGAACCTATACAAGGCTATCTGAGACCTCATACCAGGAACAGTGCTGTTGCCTGGGAAGAACCCGGAACATCATCCTCCTAGCAGAGAAATGTGTGCACCAAACTGCACCAGCCACTTTTCCAACAGCAACCCCTGGTGGACACTGAGAAGTACAACTGGATCATTTGTAGATGAGCCTATTCTCTT